GTAAATTATTTCAAAGGGGCTATTAATGGTAATGATTGTTATACACATGCAGAATCAGACCACCACACTGCACCTTTTAAAATCTTTTGTCATGTTGCTCCTTAACATCATCCAGAGCTGATTGCCTTTTATGTCTTGTTGCTTAATATATCTGCTTTAAATTGCATATTATATTCTGTCATTTATGGTTAGCTCACATGCCTCTCTCAGTTTCTGTTGATTTCAGTGAAATCTGAGAGTAACCAGGATTGGGCCCCTTTTAGTGTCTTTTACGGCCTTGTTACACGTTGCACTTTGAGTTGCTCAAATGTTGTTTGGCGTCAGTGCTAGCTCAAGTTTGGAGCAGTCACACCTTAAGGCTAAAAACCTCTGACTGTCCCCAGCTTGCCCAGATTTGACTTGCCACTAGAGGGCTGGAGAGCAGAGACTGGACTAGGAGCTATAGCTGTGAGTTGCCACTAGAGAGTTGGTGACCCAGGACAAGCTTCTCTCACTGCTCTAGGTGGTGGTGTATGACAGATGGGTTGGAGGGTGGGGGTAGGAACATGCAGCTGGGAAGTCAAGATGGGAGTGGGTAATGAAATTGGAGGTAGAAAGAAAATGGGGGTGGGGGAAGGGTAGTGAAAAGAAGGAAGTCAGCCCCTGAAGCATTAAAAAAAAAAGTAAAAAATAAGAATTGTAAAAAAGAAACAAAGAGGACGTAAATTAAATAAGGTCTCATGTTTTAATAAACTGGGATTTGGGATTGCAGTGTTGGAGGTGCTAGTTGTGCTTCCTGGGATGGCTGGGAGGTGGTAGTGGTGAGGGAAGGCTCTTTTAGGGGAGCTACTGCCCCTGCCCTGAGAAGGAAGCCCCAGCTCATGGGGGGCCCAATCTCACCCCCTACCTTGTTCCCTTCTACCTTGCTAGATCCCACTTCTGGACCCATCTGTGCCCTGCAACCTGGGTAGCTAGCAAGTGCTTTACAGGATGCTTGAACAGGGATGCACCCCTGGTGTTGGGAAGGGCACACCCCCCAGGAGCAGGAGGGAAGTTGGCTTGGTGCCAGAACTACCCTGGGCAGTAGAGTTCAGGGATTTGAAAGTTTATCCACACTGAACAGGAGGGTGGGGTGGGGACACTGCATCCTGGGATACTGGAGGAGTGCAACTTGAGCCGGGCATCTATGGGGACTGGCCATGCATGAATAGAACAAAAGCTGGGTAACACAGATCATAGAGAAACCTGCCGTGGAGTGGCCTAACTTTAAGCCATGTAGAACTTGCTTAATACTAATTTCAGGTGTTAATGTGTGAATAGTCCATGGGTTAAGAGCTCTATGAGCTACTGTGTAACAAGGCCCTTATTTATATTGTAAAGAATTACTGAGGCCTATGCTTTTGTTTTGTCTGTAATAGTATTTACAGGATGCACATATTATCACTTTATAAAAACATTTCTGCTATATTTGCATGCAAATGTTAAATGAATAAAGTCCTGTGTCATTCTTCATTGATGAATAACCTAATCCAAGCTCCAGATGAACATATGATAGAGCATATTTGTTTATCTTTTGAAATATCAAGTTGCTCAGATCCAGCTCTAATTTGTGGCCTACATTTCTTTATATGGCTCCTTGCATTTCCATGCCTCTTCAAGAATTCAGAAAAGAGACTCTCTTGTAGACATTTCATGCTGAACGTCCTGGATAGCATGTGTCATGTTATATGGATGCAAACTATTCTGCAACAATTTGCCTTTGTAGTGGTTTGGGTTACGAAACAGGGATAGCAAAATCATTGGTGTCTTCCTTATGCATTGTCATCCTCTGTATAAGTAGATGGTCCAAATTTTCAGAGGGCAGAAACTAGAGATTAGATTTTAAGTCTGTTACTTTCTGAAGTATATCTAGATATTCCTGTTGTGACCTGATGGCTTGTATTTGTTTAATGAGGCTTTTTTTTGTATATTGTTATGCTAAACTAAGAAAATCTTAAAGTTTGGGGAAGAAAACATGTTCCCATCAGAGACATCATTAAAATCTTTATACTCTTTTTTTCTCTCTATATAAGCTTATTTTCATACATTAACTTCTATTTTCAGTGCCATGCTTGTTAACTGACAGTAATTCATACAGCACCCTAGTGTTTGCATAACATAGTGAATACATGAGCATTAGAAATGATAAATTTGTCATCTTATTAGTGCTTTCTTTAGTGAATTCCAGAGAAAATGTTGTTTATGTTTTTCTCATAAACAAGTTAATCAACAGACTAGGACAGGGGTTTTCAACCTTTTTTGGATCAGTGTACCCCCGGTAGCCAGATATGGTGTGGAGGAGCAGGGGGGACTTGCAGCTGGATGCGGAGCAGTGGCAGCTGCTGTATGCAGGCTTCCCCTGCTCTCCCCCTCCCCCCATATCCACCTGCGTGGCAGCATGGGATGGTGCGCAGCAGCGCTCCATCCCCACCTGCCCATCCGTGTGTACCCCCTATGGCCTTCTCAAGTACATCCAGGGGTACCCGTACCCGTACCCCTGGCTGACAACCCCTGGACTAGGATGTTAAAGGAACCCACAATCAAGCTAGAAATCTTTTGTTGAGATGCAATGAACGTATGTGTTTGTGCTTGTATGCGAACATAGTGTTCAGTTTGTCTCCTTCCATACTGTATAGTAGCTCATGCTATCTATATAGTTACTATCTTTATGTAAATTATAAGAGTTATACACAGCTATGCTGAAATTAAGGTGGAGCAATATTTTCAATATAAACACACTAGCCAATTGCCCGTCAAGAATGATGGGAGGCAGGGTGGGAGGGGGCTGGGATGGAGTCCCATGATGCTTCCCCCCCACCCCATGCTGCCGCCATTCAGCCTCTTGCAGGCAGCGGGGTGGGGGAGCTGAGGCCAGCAGTGCTGGCCTCAGCTCCCCA